TCGGGACGCAACAATAAAGTCGGCTCGCGGTACTCAAGTGGACTATTCTCAAACGGTTGCCGTCCAAATCGGCACTCCCCGCAATGAAAACGAATTCTTGGAGTGACCCATGAAGAGGGACATCGGAGGGAGGCTTTATTATTGCAACATCGTTGATGCGTCTTGGGTTTGCACTGGTCCTCTTCCTTCTCGCCTTCCTCCTCCTCCTCCTCCTCCTCGTTCTCCTGCTCCTTGTCGTCCTCCTCGTCGTTTTCTTCGTCGTCGTCGCCCTCCTGCTCGTCCTCCTCTTCGTCCTCGTCGCCCCTCTCCTCTAGATGGCCCCAAGACGGCCCGAGACCGCCCTAAGGCGGCTCCAACACAATCCAAGACCTGCCTGCCCAAGGCGGCCCCAATACGCTTGGTAGACGGCTCCATGACCCTGCCAAATTGGCGTAACATCCTCTAGTAAACGCAAGATCTTCAACATGGCCCGGAGACCCCGGGTAAGATGCGAAACGACGCTCCCAATCATCCCCCCAAAGCTCTCAACGAAGAAACAATACAAAGCCGATGCGCCGTGTTACGATCTCCTGGGCCATTGGAAAATCAACCGTCGCATGCTATGGCCATCTATCCACTGGGAAGCGAATTGGTACATGCTGCGGCCTCCTGGGGCACGGGGAGGAAACTTGCTGCGTGCTATGATCATCCGCTGGAACCGACGGGCGAGAACTGCCACATGTTACGGCCAGCTGCTTGGCTCCCGAAGAGTCGCCACACGGAGAGCTGTGCTGGCGTGGTGGAGGAGCGTGCCGAAGGCACCTGGAGAACACGTCCCACCAGCCCTTTGGGGCGCAGGTAGTTTAGCCCGTTTCCTCTTCAACCCACTTTATTCCTGGAGGATTCCCTCCCCCTCCCCCTCCCACATAGGTCTGGACGGGGCGTCCCGCGACCGATTGTAGCGTCTAATTTGGTCCAATATGCCTCCGAGAGCGCCCCAGATAGTCAAAGATGGCCTCCGAGATGGACCAATATGTCCCAATATTGTTGCCAACGTGCTCCCAGAGGCCCCGAGAGCGCTCCAAGACGAATCCTAGTGGCCACGCAGCCTCCCGAGGAGGCCCCTAAGAGGCCAACATCCTCCAAAAACCAAACACTCCATGCTTTTGGCCTGTTCGCCTTCTCGCTTCCGATTGGCTCTTGAAGGCTCGAAATGACTCCAAGGGAGACTGAGAGGGCCACAATAGAGGCCCAAGATGGCCCCAAGACGGTCGCAAGAGCGCCCGAACAAGCGACTTTGGGAGATCAAGAGGGTCACAAGTCAGTGAACCACCATGTTGCTGTCAAAGTTTGTGATATTTCTGGGGCATCCTGAGCCAACATGTCTCCAAGATGGCCTCAGAGAGCCCGAGTGGGCTCCAAGATGACCCAAGACACCCAAGATGGCTCAACACGGTGATCAATATGCCTCCAAGAAGCCCCAAGACACCCCCAAGACGGTCCCGAGTGACCACGGAGCCTCCCGAGGATAAAGGCCATACGGAAATCAACATGTTTTGCCTTCTCGCCTTCTAGCTTCCGATGGGTTCTTGAGGTCTCAAGATGGCTCCAAGAGGGCATTCAATATGGCCTCAAGACTGCTCGAAGAGCGCACAGACGCGACACAAGGGCGCCCCAATAGCACCCAAAGACACGACAAATTGATGATCCCCCTTCTTTGACCGATGTCCTTCAAGATGGCCCCCAAGAGGGCCCCAAGGCAGCAGGGCCCTAAGATGGCCCAAGTAGGCTGCCAAGAGACTCCCACATCGAGATGGCCGCGAAGGTATTGCGAAGGCCTCACGGCCAGTGCCGCCGACCCTGAAGGGGGACGACGACGACGACGACGACGGTGGCGGCGGCGGCGACCACGACGACGCTGACCTGGGCCAGAGTCCCCAAAGATGCTTCTTGGGGTCTCTTTGGAAGGCTCTCGGGGGCCGGCCTCTGGGGACGATTTTCGGGGCCTCTTGGGAGCCTCTGGGGGGCCTCTGATCTGCGAAGGTGTTTTTGGCTGACTCCTCGGCCTGTTCAGGCATATCCCGATCTTCGGTTTGACGGTTGCCCCCCCCTCCTTGTTCCACTCCGCACTCCCGAATTTCCCTGATCGACATAACTCGCCTGAGCATCGCTGCTGGATGGGCTGAAGGGGATAGGCGAAACGTGAAGAATAGACCTCGGCGGCGGCGAAGAAGATTCACCTCGTGAGGAGGCCCTGTGGTCGGTTCCCGCTGTGTCGACGTGGACAATGGCTTCTGACACCGCGCAAATCGTTTCTTGAGCGCCCTCCGCTATCCGACAACGGAGATCGTTCACTTGTGGCCTGCTTCGAGCCAACGGTGGCCTTCAACCTTGGACATCTGGGCCAGTGTCGCCGCCGCGTCGACGCGGCGCGAATCTGCCGTACCCATCGGTCGGTAGAAGTAGGTAGAAACACGAAATAGGAAGGCGTTGAAAGTAGATTGGGTCCCGTCCGCCCCCTCGGGAGGACGGAAAAGGTGAAGCCACTCGATTATTGAAAGAGGAAGGCGCTTAAAGTAGACTGGAACCTGGGAATCCAGATATTCCTACTTTCAACGACCGATGGGTAATTGCTCCCTGGAGGCTCCCAAGCAGGCCGCTGGAACGCCCCATGCTGTTCCGCGGGGCGTCTCCCTCGCGCCTCGGCAGGGCGGCCCCCGGCCGTGCTGCGCCGCTGACCGCCCTCCCGTGGGAGGCTCCGCAGAGGCCTTCCGGCAGCCCCCGGAAGCTTACGCGGCGGTGCGCGCAGAGGCGTGGGCGCGTGAGGGGGGGGGGCATTCCAAGAAGGCAGAGGGCCCTTTTCAGACAACCTCCCGCCTTCTACTCGGGACGCCCGACATGGGTACGGGAAGCATGGCTACGACGTCTAACAACAGATGCTGCCCCAGACCGACAACGGCCGCTGTCAAGCCCGCGACGCTTGGACCCCAGTGGGCAACGTCCGCGGCGACACCGACATCGAACCCGGCTCGAAGAGGGCAAGACCTGCTGCCGGTCTTCGTACGGGAGGTTCGCGTCGTGACGACCCCAGCGTTGGTTTTTGACGCCGCGCTGGATCGTTCCACCTTGAACGATCGGCCGCTGCCGCAACGTCCGATCGTTCAACATCGATCGATTCTGGGTCGCCGGCGGCGTTCAACCTTGAACGCCCGCGCTGGGGTCGCCGCTGGTCGACACGACGCAAACCTACCGTACTTGTCCCGATCGTAGCGGCTCGCGAAGCCTTCATCAAAAGGCCTCACGGGTTCCTCTTGCAAGAGCACCCTCCGCCCTGCAAGGCGCCCCCGCGTGCCTCCGTCGTGCGCGCCGCCGACGGCCGAGAGCTCCCCCCCCCAGGTGCTCCTTGGAAGGGGCCCTGGGACACACAAATAAACACACACGAATATAAAGATATTTCCCGCATTTTCCTATATCTTCTGGGCTTCTGTCTCCCCCCCCACCTTCCATATTTTCCCATGGTTTCCGGGGAAATCGACGATTCATTGTGTCTGTGTGTGCTTTTTTCCCCTCCTGCTTGGGGGCCACGCGGGAAGCCCCAGGAGGCTCCGGGGAAGCTCTTGCACGGGAGCCCGTCCGGGAGCCCGTCCGGGAGCCCCCCCGGGAAACGCCTGGGACTCATGGCATCCCACGGGGAACGCCTCGCGCGCGGGCATCCATTCTCGACGTCGGTGCTGCTCGCAAGGGGCGGAACCGGGGCGCGCAAGGCCTGGGGACCCTACGGTGCCCCAAATCTGGCGGAAGCCGTCGCTTTTTCCCCCCCGGAACGCCGACCTGGCCATCGCTCGGACGTCCTTTCCTATTCCTCGCAAGAGGATCCGGGATGCTCCTCGATGGCCCCCGCCGAGAACACGTGCAGCGATGCCAAGCGAAGGTACTATTTCAATGCGATCTGAGCGTGCCGAACTCTCGGCCGGCGCCCGAGGCACCTGCAGGCTCCAGGAGGAGAGCCCCTCGGCCGTCTCGAGCTCGCGGCCCAACGCAGCCCCGCGCAGTCCCCCTGCGCGGAGGAGGAGGAGGAAGATGAGGAGGAGGAGGAGGCGGAGGAGGAGGAGGAGGAGGAAAGGGAGGACGAAAGGGAGGAGGAGGAGGAGGAGGAGGAGGAGGAGGAGGAGGAGGAGGAGGAGGAGGAGGAGGAGGAGGAGGAGGAGGAGGAGGAGGAAAGGGAGGAGGAAAGGGAGGCCCCTGCTCTCTCCACCGCTCGTGCGTCCACTCCCCGTGCACTCCTCTCGGTTCCGTGCGCCTGCTTCGCCACGAGCTGACCCCGGCTGCTTTCTCCCCGCCGCGGAAGGGAGGCGCACGCCCGAGCGGTGCCGCGGCCGAAGGCACCCCCGGAGGGGCCGAGCGATGCCGAGCTCTCGAGCCGCCGAGCCTCCCAAGCTTCCCGAGCCTCGCGCGCTCTGCGGTGGCACGCGAGGCCCCCGAGGAGGACCCGCGACAGCCCGGCTCCGTGGAGGCCCCCCTGCGGGGCGGCAGTCCTGCAGGGCACCTCGCAGGAGAGCTCTCGCCGCGGCTGCGGTCGGGGCTGCGGCTGCGGCAAAAGAGCTCTCCTGCGAGCTGCAGCGGCGGGGCCGCTCCTCCCCCCCCCTCGGGCGGCTCCAAGCACTGCGGGGAGCCAGCCCGGCGGCTGCTGCAGGCTCGTGCGTCCTCGTGCAGTCCCCCTGGAAGCCCGTGGGGACTCCTGAGGCTTCCGTCGGCGGCGAGCGAGGGGGGGGGAGTGAGAGGGAGAAGGCCTTCTCAGAAGGCTTGGACGTCTCCTGGCCTTCTGGACAGTTTTCCAAGCCTTCCTGGTAGACACAAAACACCTCTCAGGAAGCGGGAGGGCTTCCGAGAAGTCCCGCCGCCTTCTGAGAAGGCCTTCTCATTCTCACTCCCTCCCCTCGCTCGCCGCCGATCCTGGTCCTTAGACGGAAGGCCCAACGGCAAGCAAGAGGACGGCATCGGGTTCCTGCTCCCCTGGGTTCCTGTGGCACGCGCGCCAGCGTCAGCGCCAACTGCACACGGTGGCACCAAGGGCAAGTGTTGCCCACGTACACCGCGTGGCCAGCCTCGGCCAGGCTCAGCTGCTGCCCCTCCGGGGCCACCTCGGGGGGGAGAACCGCATCGCTGGTTCGAGGGCATGCGTCTGATGCCAAGACTGCTTGGTCTCCCTGCCACGCCCGTGTGTTTCGCATCGCCAACTCAGGGGCCTCCTAGATGGGGTCGGAGGATCGCGCCGCATCGCCGATAAATCTACGATGCATCGGTGATGTATCGGCGATGCATCGGTGCTGAACCGGCGATGTATCGTCGACGCCGGCGATGCATCGGCGATGCATCGGCGACGTCGACGTGGAGTACATCGGGCCCCACATCGAGCCACGCGGAAACCAACTCGCCTGCATACACCCACCCACGCACGCACATGCGGCGCTACGACGTGTGGCATGGCGGGCAAGCAACTGGCCCTGCTTGGGAGCGAGGCGTGAGTACAATGCTAGCGACCCCGCAACCCGCCGCATTTCTTATCCCTCCTCCTCCAGTTCATGTGTTGAAAGCCCTGAGCGGGGCGTCGTTCCAGCGTCCCAAGGGCGCGTCCCATCACACCGTCTTTACCGGGGGCAGCGTTCCAGAAGCCCACGGCGTGCGTTCCAACACCTTTCTTGCTGCTGTTCCGAGCGCAGGCGTCCCGGCAATCCACGGCGCGCGCCTCATCAACGGCATGTGGTACCGAGCGGGGTCGTTTGAACTTCGGTCTCAACCAACGCAGACGAGCCCAGTCAGTCGATCGACCCCCTGGCGACATACTCTGCTGACTGTAGTGCGAGCGCGGTTGGCATCGCACAAGGCAAGCAACGAATGCATTCGAACGGCAACTTGTGAATTTCGTTTAGACATTCTACAGGTAACCGCTATCGCCAGACATCCTCGCCTGACAACCTAGTCGTTGAAATTCTATCCCGCGCGCTCTTCACCAAGCTGCTTATCAAGTCCAGGCTTCTATAATGCTATTTACCACATCGTTGTGACAAACGCTTTCCTCAAGTGATGCTTTCCTTATGAAGTCGGGTGGGTATGGCGGCGGTTCGCCTGGTCGGCTCCCCGCGGGTGCCTCGACGGGTGGGCGGCCGTGCGCGCCTCGTGGGCGCCCGGTGGGAGCCCCGTGCGCTGGCCGGGTGCGTCGAGGTTTCGCCTGGCAGGCGCCTCGCGCTGGCCTCACTTGCACTGCTTGCACCAGAGCTTCCTCTTCGGAGCTCACGCCGCGTGGCTTGCACAACACAGCTTCCTCGTCGTAGCTTGCACCACTCAACATGTACCGCACACAGCTTGCACCACATAACTTAGACCACGCATATATTGCACCACATTGTTTGCAACGCGCGTAGCTTACACCACATAATGTAAAACATGCAGCTTACACACCCGCAGTGCAAGATCTCGCTTTTTGAGGTCCGTGGTCCATGGTGGCAAACCTAATTCAATCTGAGATGTGGGGCATTCGAGGGTGCAAGTGTCTGTGCATCGCTCAGACAGCTGCATGCACATCTGCACAACATGTTACGCATACTCTCGTATGTCACCACAACTTAACTTCAATAGCTAAGGTGCGAATGCGCTTCGCTATCATGTACGACACACATTCGACAGCATCTGCTTTTCTTTGTCCTTCGGTACCAATGAAAGCCACACCATTCTGCCACACTCGATTCTGTGATGACACCGCTTCGGGTTTCACGCTCTGGCTGATCAATTGCTCGTAACCGTTTTGCTAACTATGTTTCAAAGGACTTCGCGGGTGAAGAGAGGTAAATCGTCGCAAGAACGCATGAGGCGAATCTGTCACGTATTTGCGGTTCGTGGGGAGACCCCATACGCTGGAGCTTGCATGCAATGGTAGGGTACCCTATCCGATTTAATAATACGTGAATGTGTACACCTTACCCGCACGCTCGCTTAGTCATCCTTGATTTTCCCGAAAAGAAATGCTACCCGGTGCCGGTGCCTGATCTTCTTCAAACACGCTAGAGTTAGTGTACGGCCGTTTGCCACGCGTGAAGTATCAAGCACGGGGGCGCTACGAAATATTTCTGGGGGAAAGGGCGGTAGTTAGCCGAGACATGAACACTGCCCTGATTTATTTGTGCGATTCCTACGTCAGCCGTGCATGAGGAAGGCGGCCAATGAAAGCAAACAGTGCCATTTCAAGACTTGTTTATGTTTGTCCCCCGACGGGCGCCAGCGTGCTGGGCGCACGCACGAAGTCGCCACGCGGCGACTGCGGCGCCAGCTCGCGCACCATGGTGCGCCAAGCTTGCAGCGAGCCCCAGCGGGCTGTCCTCACCAGGCCCTTCTGGCCCCCGAACGCCGACGAGGCCCACTCGAGGATGCGAAAGCCTCGGTCCGCCTGCTCAGAGCCCCCCGCCGCTGCGGCGGCGCGCGTGGCAGCTCCGCGTGCCTCTTGAGCAGGGCCCGACCGCCCTGGCTTTCCTGTAGGCCTACCTGGAGATGTTCTAAGAACCCAGGACTGTTCTAATAACACAAACCAGGTTCTTAGACCATAAACCCGATGTGCTAATAAAACAGGACAGGCCCAGCCATAAATGTTCTGAGAGCACTCCGTGCAGACCACAGAGGGTGCTCAGAACACCGCCTGGTGGGCCCACAGCATCCGCCGAGACGCTTCGCCACTGCCTGCACCTCTCGGCGGCGACGGCGCCGGACGCGCCCCGCTGCCCGGCCGCCAGCGGCCAGCGCGACCGCAGCCGCGGCCGCACCCGCCGCGCTGCCCTCGCCCGCCGGGCGCCCTCGGGCGCCGAGAGCCGGCGGCGCGGCGGCGGCGGCGGCGGCCAGCGGCCTCTGCCGCACAGCCGCGGGCGGGGCGGCGGCCCAGCGCGGCGCCTCCATGGCTGAGACCCTGGCGGCGGCGGCTGCTGCCTAAGGGGGCCTGGGAGACCCAGACATGATCGCGTCGCCAGAAATCCAGGATGGCCATCTTTTTTCCCAACCCTCCTGCGTTGGGTTCTCGTTTTGAAGAGAGCACTGCTCGCGCGTCTCCTTCCCACCCCCTCCCGTCCCTCTCTTCCCCCCTGCCTTTTGCCTCGCTCGTCGCTGCGTGTCAGCTGGGGGGCTGCGATCTGTGAAACTGTCGCCACTTTCGAGGGCTGCTGGGGGGCCCAGCACAGTGTGCACCCGCGGCGGACTCAAATGGGACCTCGCTATCCCTGGGGGGCTGCGATCTGTGAAACTGTCGCCACTTTCGAGGGCTGCTGGGGGGTCCAGCACAGTGTGCACCCGCGGCGGACTCAAATGGGACCTCGCCATCCCTGTGGGGCTGCGATCTGTGAAACTGTCGCCACTTTCGAGGCCTGCTGGGGGGCCCAGCACAGTGGGCACCCACGGCGGATTCAAATGGGACCTCGCCATCCCTGGGGGGCTGCGATCTGTGAAACTGTCGCCACTTTCGAGGCCTGCTGGGGGGCCCAGCACAGTGGGTACCCACGGCGGACTCAAATGGGACCTCGCCATCCCTGGGGGGCTGCGATCTGTGAAACTGTCGCCACTTTCGAGGCCTGCTGGGGGGCCCAGCACAGTGGGTACCCACGGCGGATTCAAGTTAGACCTCGCCATCCCTGGGGGGCTGCGATCTGTGAAACTGTCGCCACTATCGCGGCCTGCTGGGGGGCCCAGCGCAGTGATGCCACACGCAGATTGAAATTAGACCTCGCCATCCCTGGGGGGTTGCGATCTGTGATACCGTCGCCACTTTCGAGGCCTGCTTGCGGGGCCCAGCACAGTGTCGCCTCCCAAGTAGCTTACACATCAAGTTGATTGTCCATACAAGTTTCGGCCAACTCCTCGTTTCTATTGATACAAATGGGTTGGGTACGTCACAGGGTAATCTGCTACTTTCGGCCCCTCTGGGGCCCTCGCCGGGCCCCGGCACTGTCAAAAAACGACCCAGGATGAAAACCGGCCCCAGAAAGGGTCTGGACTTCCGGGGATGCCGTCCTGAACAAAATCAGGACGTCGCATGTCTGGGCAGAGGTGCGGCGACTCCGAAGGGTGCGGTTTGCAGGCAGGGGGTGTGGCCTGCAGCCCGCGCCCCCGGGCAGGGGGGGGGCGAGGACCTCGACCGAGTTCCCCGCCTCGTCCCGGGGAGGCCCGACGAGGGCAACGTGGTGCCCCCCAAGCCCCAACGACGCAGATCGCAAACCACACCCTGGCGCAACCACACCCTTTGTAGTCGCCGAGAGGCGGGGGAGCAAGAGCCGACCAACGAGGCGCCGCCGCGGGTAAGCCATAAACGTGTTACTGTTTGCGGAAGACACACTAGGGCGTCGGGCAAAAACGAGGGAGCGATACGCTGACGGGCTCCCAACCGCGGCGTGTCATTAGTACGCTGACCCCCTCCCGAAGAACGAGAGGAGACGATGCCTCGCCCTCGGGTCGAGATGGCCGTGCCTGCTCGGGAGCACCTCGAGACCGCGTCGTCACGGACGTCTGTCCAGCGGAAGGGCCGAAGGAGCCAACCTGCGTGCTCCCAGCCCTACCTTCTTCCGGCTGGAAGATTTTTTTGGCTGGTGCAGTGACGAACAGACAACACACACACACCTATACTTATCTGGGGCTCACCCGCGCCTCGCGATCTGAGGCTGCGCTATAGGTATGTGTGCGGGTTGTCGGACACCAAGGGGGGGCCCGTTCGAGCGGGGACAACCATTCGACAACACGCACCTATAGCCTTTCCAGAAGTCCACACCGACAAGTCTGGGGTCATATACGTATGGGGTGCGGGTGCTGGTCGTCAGCTCATGCTCCAGGGCGGCCCCCAGTCCGGGATGGGGGGCTACATTCGCCATGCCAGGACGAGCCACTGTTCCCAAGCCCCGTGGGCGACGCGGCCCGTGACAACGACACGGAGATCACGCCAGCAAGCAACAAAGCAGAAGCTTCCGAATGTGAACAAATCGTATACCCGAGGCGCCTACTGGGACGATACATGCTGGCCTTTCATTGGCCGTGGGCTAATCGTGCAAGAAATCTGGCGCAGAACCAGGATGACGGGGGGGAATGCTGGAACCGAAGCCATCTCACAACGGCTTGAGGCCGAACTCTGCCCTCTCAGGGACTGCCTACGTGCTTGAAGGGTTCGGGGTGGCACCTGCTCCGCCCTCCCCCTTCCAATATTCATCACAAAGACACGCCTGTCTCCTTAAGACGCTTCCGCCCCCCAAACAAATACGTCGGTTCCGCAGGGTCGCCCGCCCAGCAACTCCACAGCCTCGCCGCTGGCCTTTCTGTGATATCCTCCGTGCACCCTCACACCCACCGGCTGCAGCGGCAGCTGCACTGCATCCAGCAGGCGGAGGCGACGGCGGCGGGGACAACGGCGGCAGCAGAAACGACGGCCGCAGCAGAGATGAACCCGCCGACCCTTTCGGGTCAGAAGTAGTTGCCTACTGCGAGGCACCTTTGCCCACCCGATCGCGCGCTGACATTGTCTTAGGTCAAGCTTTCTGAAACCTTTCAAACAGAGGCCTCAAGAGGTTGGTTCTTGTTTGTTCTTGTCTTTTTTTGGTTCTTGCTTTTTCTTCAAAAGGAAGAAGTTTTGGAGGGTTCCTCAAACAAGACCTTCCAACAACCTTCTTCAGGCAGGTTTCAGGAGAGATTCCTCGCACAAGCCTTGCAATAACGTTGCGCAGGGAAGTTTCAGGAGGGGTTCCATTTAAGAACCTTCCAAAAACATTCCGCAGGAAGGTTTAAGGAGGGCTTCAGCCTAAGCGCCTTCCATAAAACCTTTCCCCAAGAAGATGCTTGGACGGTTTTCGGAAGATTCTTCCGGCAAGCCTTCCAACTTCTTCCTCTGGAAGGTTTCAAGAGCGATTCCTCCCAACAGGCCTTCCAAATACCTTCCTCTGGAAGGTTTTTTGAAGGTTGCGGGGGGTTCCTTTCAAACGCCTTACAACAACCTTCCTCAGGACGGGTTCAAGCGGGTTTCCTTCGAACGACCTTCCAACAGCCTTTCTTTGACAGATTGTTCGAAGGTTTTTGGAGGATTCCTTGTGCACAACCACCAACAACTTTCCTCAGGAAGGCTTCAGGAGGGCTTCATCGTACAAACCTTTCAAATACCTTCCTCAGGAGGGTTTCAGGAAGGCTTCCTTCTAAAAACCGTTCAAACACCTTCCTCGGTCCTCAGGAAGGTCGTCGGACGGTTTTCGGAAGACTTCTGCAACACGCCTTCCACAAATCTTTGTCAGGAGGGTTTCCAGAGGATTCCTCCCAACAGGCCTTCCGAAAACCTTTCTCAGACAACTTTCCAACAGCCTTCCTTTGTTTGAAAAGGTTAGTGGAACATTTTGGAAGGTTTCTGGATGACTCCTCCTAAAACCTTTCCAAAAACCTTCCTCCTGAAGGTTCCAGGAACGTTTCCTCCAAACAACCTCTCAAGAGCCTTCCTCAGAAAGGTCTCTGGAAGGTATTGAAGATTCCTCGTGGAAGTCTTCCAAAAACCTTCCTCCGGAAGGTTTCAGGAGGGTTTCCTTTAAAACACATAGCAAGAACCTTCCTCAGGAAGGTTTCAGGAGGGCTTCTTCGTAAACTCAATAAAACATCTTCCTCAGGAAGTTTTTTTTTGTTGGAAGGTTGTTTGAGGATTATTACTGACACGTTTCTACTTTTTTACTTTTTAAAACATTTAAAATGTGTTCCTCTCTCTATATATTGAAACATAAAACGTGGGCAGAACCATCCGCTGGCAGGTTTCAGGAGGAATTCCTCCTAGAAGCCTTCCAAAAACCTTCCTCAGGAATATTTCCGCCTGGCAACCTTCCAAACACATTCCTCTGGAAGGTTGTTGGAAGGTTACCTCCCTACAAGCTTTCCAAAACATTTCTCAGAAAGGTTGTTGGAAGGATTTGGAGGTTTCCTCATAAGAAACCTTCCAAACACCATCCTCGGGAAGGTTTCAGGAGGGTTTCTTTCTACGAGCCGTCTAAAACATTTCTCAGGAAGGTTTCAGGAGGGGGTGGCCGAATTGCCGCACCCAACTGATATCGCTGGAGGCCCATCTTGACGGCATACCGTTCGGCACGTCCAAGCCACGTGACAAGGTCCAGCTGGCAGACCGACCACCCGCACCTACGAACTTCAGGAACACTAGCCGAGAAGAGGAGGAGGAGGAGGAGGAGGAGGAGGAGGACAGGATAGGAGGCTGGAGGAGGAGAGGAGGAGGAGGAGGAGGAGAGAGGAGGAGGAGGAGAGAGGAGAGGAGGAGGAGGAAGGGAGGAGGAGGAGGGGGAGAGGAGAGGAGAGGAGAGGGAGGAGGAGGAGGAGGAGGAGGAAGGAGTAGGAGAGGAAGGGAGAGGAGGATGAGGAGGAGGAGGAGGAGGAGGAGGAGAGGAGGAGGAGGAGGAGGGGAGGGGGGAGAAGGAGGAGAGGGAGATGAGGGAGGAGAGTCCCAATCTCAGGCCCGAGATCGTCGTTTGCTATGCTGCTCCGCGATGCGAGGGAGGGCCGGGGGCGCACCGGCGCGGGCCGCGCGTGGGGCGCGCCTCCCACGGGGGCGCGCGGGCGCGGAGCTCCGCGGGCGCGCGCGCCGCGGGGCGCGGCGGGGGAGGTGGCCGCGGCATGGGTGCGCGCCTAGTGGGCGGCTGCGTGGGAGCGGGGAGGAGTGCTCCACCTCTTGGCCCCCCCTCCTCCTCCTCCCCCCTCCTCCTCCTCCTCCTCCTCCTCCCTTCCCTCCCCTCCTCCTCCTCCTTCTTCTTCTCTCCTCCTCCTCTTCGCCCTCCTCCTCGCCTCCTCCCCCCTCCTCTCTCCTCCCTTCTCCTATCCTCTCCTCCTCCTCCTCCTCCTCCTCCTCCTCCCCCTCCTCCTCCTCCTCCTCACTCCTCCTGCTCCTCCTCCTCCTCCTCCTCCTCCTCCTCCTCCCTCTTCCTCCTCGTCCTCCCTCCTCCTCCTCCTCTTGTTCCTCGCTTCCCCTCCTTCTGCCCCCTCCTCCTCCTTCTCCTCCTCCTCCTCCTTCCTCCTCCTCCTCCTCCTCTTGTTCCTGGTCAAGCTTCGGTGAAGTGACACACTTGAAAGTGGGTGTGGCCTGGCAACAACTACATGCATCTATCGTTGCTGGGGGTATAGGAACAAACGTAAACCGATTCGTTGTGATGCGGACCTGTCTGAAGAACTCCACGTCGAGAGCTATCGAATACCCGCTAGCGACCACAGCACCCTTGGGAAGCCTCGCCATGAGACATGACCAAACATCATGATCGCAACCTTTTGGAGGTTCGCGCGTATGCTTGGGTCGGCACTTGACCCCGCCCCCTGGTGCGCGAACGGGTGGTCCGGCGCCGACCCCAGAAATCCGCGCAGACCTCCAGAAGGTTGTACAGTAGGCACGTCAAATGAGAAACGGGCCTGCCAGCATGTGCCCTGCGGACGTTTCTTATCCCCCAGTGGCCCTGGGGACCCACCGAAGTTCTGTAGGGCCCTCACATGGACGAATAGTGTCCCCTGCGATTTTTTATAGCCAAAAATATGACCGTATGTGCTACGGTCGGGATTGTTTGCTTCTTCTTCTGCTTAGTATTATGATTGCTACCATTATTCTTGTTGTGATTATTATTATTAGTCGTGCTATAAATACTGTTCTTCTTCTTGCTCGTCTTCTTCGTCTTCTTATTCCATGTCTGATTGCTATTGCCCTTCTTCTTCTTCTTCTGCTTTAGTATTGTTGTTGCTACTATGTTTAATATTTGCAAAATCGAATTTATTCGTCTTACCAATCTTATTCAGAATGCCAATATAGATAGTAACAGCATTGTGATCTTTACCATTCTTACTTTTAATGATCTTACTTTTCGTATGATGACCATTTTGATGGCCTCTCGCTCCTCTGAATACTGTTCTTATGCATGTCTGCTCTTTCTCCGACGCGTGTGCTACCAACTGGGATGCCTCGCCATCAAGCGGGGCGGTGCATCGGCGATGCATCGGCAACTTCGGCGATGTATCGGTGACGTCGGCGTAGAAAACATCGGGCTCCACATCGCGCCGTATCGCCGATACATCGGCGATGCGGCGCGCTCCTCCGACCCCATCTACCCCGACCACATCTGGGAGGCATTGCCCCGTGGTTTTCGGGCCATCACTCGGCTCTCCGACGCCGTCCAGGACGATTCCGGCACCCCCAGAAAGCCCTCGACGAGGCGCGGCCGATGGGAACCAATCCGGGCTTCGAAACCTGCCAAGACCTTCCGAACCACGACCTTACAGTCGGGCTGCTGAAGTAAGGCACGACTATTCTATGGAGCGGAGCCCCTCCTTGGCCCTGACCCCTGCAAGCGCCTGCGTGCTCGAGGGAGGGCTAGAAGAGACTTCAGGAACAGCGGACCCCTTCCGATCCCAAAGCGGTCCTTATTTCAGGAGGGGGGGGGCTCTGTGCAAGGCCATATATTCTTCTTCTTGGCCTTCGCCAGTGGAGACCGTCATTTCATTAAGGTGTTCTGCACAATGCAACAGAGGGGGCTGGTCTTGGGCAGGGGGTTGAAGGGGGAGGAGGAGGAGGAGGAGGAGGAGGAGGAGGAGAAGGAGGATGAGGAGGTTGTGGAGGACGAGGAGGCGGAAGAGGAGGAGGGGGAGGAGAAGTAGGGGGATGAGAAGTAGGGGGAGAAGGAGTAGGAGGAGGGGGAGGAGGAGGAGGAGGAGGAGGAGGAGGAGGAGGAGGAGGAGGAGGCGGCGGAGGAGGAGGATGTGTGCCTGCCTGCTCTTTCTCCGACGCGTGCGCCGCCAGCACGGGAAGACGCCTCGCCGTCCGGCGGGGGGGGGGGAGCGGGCGCCCCTGGCTGGGCCGCTCCGCCGCGGCTCAGCGAGCCGCCGCCCCGCTGCCGGAGGCGGACTCCGCGCCCGCGCGCGGGCTCCTCTGCGGGGGCGGGGCGCGCTCGGTGGGCCCCGCGCGGCCGGCCCCCCGCCGTGACGACCCGCGCACGACGGCAGCGACCGACCCCACCGACGCCGTCGAGGGCGACGACCAGGACGACGTGGACGGCGACGAGGGCGATAGCGATGAGCACGACGACAACGACGCTGACGACGAGGACAAGGACGTTGGAGTCGACGACGGGGACGTTGACGATGACGACGACGATGGTGATGAAGCCGACGAGAACGACGATGACGAAGACGACGATGACGACCTGAACACCTCGTCCGATCCGCCGACTCCTGAGGCGTGTGCGATTCAACTGTGCACCTCTTGACGACATCCACCACGACCACCTTTCCTTGCAAGACACTGTGTTACTCTCGCATTGCTTACCCTACAAATTCTCGCCCGAAACCGACCCTGACCCCCCACCTGGCCACCACCTCGCCCCGACACACGCACACACCGCCCTCTGGATCCTGTTCTTGGGACCCTACTCCCTCTTCTCCCCCTCCTCACTCTCCTTCTCCTCCTTCTCCTCCTCCTCACTTCCCCCCGCCCTCGCCCCATGCCTCCCGGCACCACAATCTGCCACAGCGCACGGCTCGCCCCGACGCCGGGTCGCGGAGACCAGGGAGGCCGCGCGGCTGCAGGCATCGGCGGAACGCCTCCTCCTCCTCCTCCTCCTCTTTTCCTTCCTCCTCCCTACTCCCTCCTCCTCCTCCTCCTCCTCCTCCTCCCTCCTCCTCCTCCTCCTCCGCCTCCTCCTCCTCCTCCTCCTCCGCCTCCTCCTCCTCCTCCTCCTCCTCCTCCTCCTCCTCTCATCAGCAGCAGCAGCATCATCGTATCCCTCGTCTTTTCTGCAGCAATGAGCTGCCCACCTCACATCGGCAGGTCGGCCTTGTCCAGGATATTCACTTCTCAAGCGCGGCCTCGACGGCGTTCTTACACCCGTCGTACAAGCCGATGCTGTGATTCTTCACGATGCTGTCGTTCTGCTGCACCAGCAGCGGCCTGCCTGGTTGCTCGTACACCTTCACATACGCCATCGCGTCCTCGAGCTCGCGGGCCTCCAGCGTGCCGTCCCCCAGCTCCGATGCCCGCAGGGCGGAGTACGCCTCGTGATCGCCAACGCGGCGGATCATCAGCTTGGGCACTGGGTAGAACGCCAGCTCGCTCGGCTTGCAGCAGAGCACATCTGCCACGCGGCAGAGCTTGTCCGTGGTCGCCACGGCAGGGAAGTAGTCCCCGAAGGCGAAGAGGGTGACAGCCTTCGGCGGCTGACCCCCCTTCAGGAGGCTGTCAACGAAGCGGTCCACGCCGTCGTTGGAGTCCACCAAATGGTAGTCCAGGCCAGACTTCCGCAGAGCTTCCTCGAAGGCGGTCTTCATGTGCGGGTGGTCTCCCGCGTTCAGGAGGAGGTTCACCGCCCTAGCCTTCACGCGGTCGCCAAGCGCGCAAACGAAACTGGTGACGAACTTGCGCTGCGCGCCAGCACCGCCCACGGGGATGACCAGCCGGAGGGGCGCCATCTGGCGCGCCCGCTGCTTGCGCGCCTCGCAGTCGGCGGGAATGTTGTCCACCAAACTCTGGGGAATCCAGTGGCCGGCAAGCCGGATCTCCGACGGCGGGACGCCCATGCGCAGGAAGTTGTGGTAGTTGGAGGGCCCCTGGACCAGGTTGAGCGCGCCGGGCACCACGCAGAACCACTGGGGATGGTTGTCGATCACGAGGTTGATGACTTTCTTGAAGCCGCAGGCGACTGCGGCCAGGCCAACGAAGCTGTGCGAGGCGATGATGGGGGTGTCCTTCGGGATGCCGAGCAGGAGCGGCTTCAGGTGCTCGGCCATCTGGTATGATACCCTGAGCAGCGTGGCGTCCCCCTGGCTCTTCGTGAAAGAGCCCCAAATCCTCTCCGCGCAGCCCCCCCACTCGGACGCGATCCGCGAGGCCCTGCTGTACATTTTGTCCTGGTCCCTGATCAGCGTGGCCTCGGGCGAGTCAATTGCCAGGAAGTCGTGGAAGTACGTCGGGGCGCCCTTCTTCAGCCCCCACGAGGTGGCGGCGTAGGCAATGCGGTGGTGGCCGAACCCCATGCGGATGGTGCCCACCACCACGGAGTTGGCGGGCCACGCCGTCAGCGCCTGCGGCGCCGCGGCGTCCGCGTCCGCTGCGGCCTGCGCGAGGCGCGAGGTGACCCGCAGGCCCCGCACGAAGGGGGACTCCTTCTGGGCCAGCGGCAGCGGCACCGAGGACGGCACGTGGCCCCCGACGAACCACCTGTTCATGATCACCGCCTTGGCGCACACCTTGCCGCTCGGCGCGGTGTCCTGTAGCCACTCGTCCAGCTGGAAGCGGTTGTCCCGCTTCATCGACGCGTAGAGCCGCCTGGCCAGCACATCCAGCAGGCAAACGAGCAGCGTCACGCCGGCTGCCGCCCCGAGCAAGGAAATGACGGCCGTCTTCGCGAGCTCCTCGGAGACCGCGAACGCGCGGTGGCCACTGGGCTGCCGGGGCGCGCTGTGGGGTCGCCAGCCGACGCCCACCAGCACCTGGGGAAAGCAAAAGGAACCGATGCCGCTAGCACCCCGTGGACCTCTCCTGGGGTGTGTTCTGACCAGGATTTCGAGGCGAATCCAGCGGTGGCCGCGAGGTCCCAGCGGGCGAGAGGGGAGAGGCATGGGTATACCTTTTTCCCTCCTCCCGGGCACCAGCGCGGCGCACAGCACCAGCACGAGCACCCCCAGAGGGCAGCGGCACCGGCGTGCCATCGCGGGCCTGCCGCCGGTCGGGCCGGCCGACCGCGGGCGGCAGAGCCCGTGCTTGAGCCGGAATGGCTCCGGCGGGGCGTCGTGGGGCCTCTTCGGGGCGTCTCGGGGCTGTCGCAGTGCCGTCCGGGGCCGTCTTGGAGCTCGCGTGGGGCGCTTCTGCGGGGGCCTTTGGGGGGGGGGGCCAGCCGCAGGCCGTCTTGGGTGGTCTTGGAAGATGCTCGGGCCTTCTGTGCCCTCTGGGGGTCGCCTGGGGAGGTCCCCCGGGAGCAGGGGCACCGAAACTCAAGGGGGGCCAGCCCGGGGCCCTGGGCCCGGGATCTCCCGTTCATTTGTATATATATATATATATATATATGCACACATACATATGTATGGCCAATGTTTGGAATCGGCGGCCGTCACAATACGAACAGCTCTTGGCGCCCCGTCAAGTCCTGCCTCCCGACCTCCTCCCGGATGCGACTCGGGTCTTCGACCGCAGCGTGAAGGCGGCGGGATCACGAAAGGGCCCCCCCCCTCTGCAGCTGCTCCCCGAAAGCGGCTGCGGAGAGCTCTCCCTTCTCCAGGTCAGCCGTGCCGAGTGCCCGCTCACTGAAATGTCGGATGCAGCCTCCTCTTCCTCCTCCTCCTCCT